GAGCAAGGCTGCGCAGACCATGAAGCGCGCCGAGGCGCAGCTCGAGCAGGAGCGGGTGCTGCAGGTGCTGAAGAGCAGCGCGGTGGTGTCGGGTGGGTACAGCCTTGCGGGTGCGCGTGTGTCCCGCTCACCCGTTGTCATAGGCACGCAGGTGCGCACCTCGTATAACCGGAGCGTCAGCCCTAATAAGGTGGTCGTGAATGCGCAGGGGCCGCTGGAGGCGACGTTTCATCAGACGGGGTCCGCGTCGATGTCGACTTCGGACTCGAGTGAGGAAGGGAGGGGGAGGGAGAGGAGGGCGCCGCCGTTACCTAGGAGACGGAATACCCATACCCAGCAGCAGCCGTCGCCGCCCGTTTCCATTTCGTCGCTGGAACAGGTCGCCCTTGCACAGACTTCGGGAGAGGTGACGTCACCACTCCCAGTTCGATCCACCACGAATCCATTCCCCAGGCCCGCAGACAACAACCCATTCCACCGCCCTCTCCCCGACCCGCACCCCACCAAGCCCTACACCTCCTCCCCGCACACCTCTCCCGCCCACCCTACGACCGACCTCCCTTCCACCAGGCCCCCAACCCACCCCGACCGGAAGCCGCCATTCACATCCTCGCTCTTCCACAACCCCTCACCCTTCACCTCCCCCACCCAGAACGTCCACCCAACCCTAATGTCGACCACGAACTCCATGACGACGCCCGAAAGCTCTCCCACCGCCCGCGTCTTCCGCTCCAAATCGCTACACCACCCTTCCCCGCCCCTCCCTCCCCTCCCCGGGCCTCCACCGCGCCGCAAGAGGCCCGAGAGCGTGCAGGTGCTCGGGTCCCCTGCGAGCTCCGTGTTTGGCGACGGCGCCGAGGTGGTTCCGTACTATGGTACCCCGGAGAGGGAGAGGGGCGTGGGGATGGGGAGACCGGTCGCAGGCTCGGGTACTCTCTCGCGTCATACGTCGTTCTCTACGCCTTCGCATGCGCATACGCATAGGAGGCAGTCGTCCCTCTCAGCTGCGTCGATGGCTACCTATTCCACTTCGCGCTCGGACGGGGCGGGTGGCGGTCCGGTGGCGGGAGGAGAGAGCCCGCTGAGTAAGCTCGCGAGGTCGTGGCAGCCCCGCCTGGAGAAGGCGCGGTATAAGGCGGAGGCGGGGTTGAGCCGGCGGGGGTACGTGCGGGACGTGAGGAGTCGGAGTCGGGGGCGGGAGGGGGAGGGGGAGGAGAAGGAGGAGCTCATTCAAGTTGGGGGTGGGGAGGAGGGGTGGGGTGGGCAGATGAGGGGGGCGAAGGGGAGGGGGTATGGGTATGGGAGTGGAGGTGGGGAGGAGTATGAGCCGCCGAGTGTGGATGGGTTGAGCTTGGATGGGAGTACGGTTTCGGTGAGCGATGAGGAGGGGGAGGGGAGATCGAGGAGAGGGGGGAGGGAGGGGGTGGAGAGGGATGGGTTGAAGTGGCCGGTTGTGGAGGGGGAAGGGTGGAGGCCGCTGTAGGTCGTTTTTCGGATGCGTGGTATAGGTTCTTGAAGCTTTCGTTCGTTTCGTTTCTTGTAGATGCTTTCGGTCGATGCGATTTGGTGTTAGTGCTACTCTGTATATGTACAAACTAAAACATATCCTCGTATGTATGTCCCAACGATGATGGATGAGACTACGCTTCCAGCGTAATTATTCCCGTAAAGCTGGTCTCTCGGGACCTGTTCGTGATCCCGTGGTCTCTACAAGGGTTGGACATGTCTTAATTTGCACTTGGCTACCTCGGAACCTGTCTGATAGGTACATATTCAGATACTCTATGTCTATACAAGTTACAAGATATCCTCGTCCGACTTGTGCATTCCGGCGATGATAGATCATACCATTTTGTACCAATCGGAGTCTTTTACGTAGATCGTAGCGAACTCGGCCTCCAGACCTAAGGATAAGTACGTCAGAGCATGCCTAGATTAATGTCTTAGCCCCATACCATGCTCCTCGAGCAACTCATGGATGACATCTTCCTTTTCACCCCATTTGAATTGCTCGAGTCTTAGAGCGTCGCGGTCGACATCGCGGAACATTTGGCGACTGAAGCGGGCCCTTCGCGTGGGGATAATGAATTTCACGTCGTCATCGTGCTGCGTAGGATAGGTAACAACAAGGAACTTCGTTAAGTTGTCCCTGACAAACTTCGCGAGGACCACGATGGCTAACATGTCATCGGCGGGGATGTCGGGCTCCTGCCGAGAAGACCATCTTCGGGCCTCTGCTGGAGTGATGAGGAACCCTCCTACACGCCATCTTGTGGGTATATGTGTACGACGAAAGATTTGGTCGGTGCGATCGCACAGCTGGTTTGTGTAGCAGCCAGCTTTGTGTGAGCTGGGGCTACGGCTAGCCCAAGGTCTCGTGGTCGTCGCGTTTTTCCCGCCAGCCACTTCCGCCAAAGGCGTCCGAGAATAACAATGGTCAACAGCGATTCCTTGCCCTCCGCCTCCATCGTGCATCGGCTTGACAACGACAAACTCGAAATATGTTGTCCAATGTAAGTAACATTTCCGCCGAACCAAAGGTTTTGTGTTGACACGGAGAAAGAAACCCGATATGCCTGATCTGGGCTAATGGTTTCGATCATCGAGCAACCTTGGCTTCACTCTTTCCACCGTCAGATATGCCTTGGAAGTTGGTCCCGGGCCGTCGTCAAGTGGTTGAAAATAGGCAACATCTACACCACTGGACGGAGCGACTTCTACAGGTTATCCAACTCCCTTCTGGTCGACCTATTCCCCAGCTCACAACGACACCAAATGTTCCCGCACCCCGCTTACTTAACCATCCATCTCATCCCCCATCCTTATTCGCATTCCAATCTTCTTCCTAGGGGTCAGCACTCCCAGTCCTCGTACCCAGCTCTCCGCCCACAGCAGCGCAGACGATCGAATACTCCAGCTGAGGTTCCGTGACTTGGCTCCTAGCCCGGTCCCAACAGCGTCCATGTACGCGCTCAGCGCCCTCGGCCCTCAATCCCGTGTCTGCGCATTCGAATTTCCCACTCAAAGCATCGCTCCGCCCGATAACTGGTCGTCCTTTCACCGATATAGCGTCTCGGGACCGATGGGCGCTCGATTTATTCGAACCAGTTGGGGAGGCATGATTTTGGGAGGTGGTGGATGTGGTCAAGTGGCTGGCTGCTGGATTATGAGGACGTTCGTTGTTTATCGAGACTTTCCAACGGTACGCAGTCCTCCCATGCTGAGCTTACATTCTGCGCACCAGTGTGACGAAAAATTATCTAGAGTATATTCTCTCTGTGTCTATGTCTAGTCTTCGGTTCCTGGCGGAGCTATTACCTCCTGGTTCTCGAGCTCCGCGCTTCTCGTTTTCGCACTCTCTATTTTATGTCCCGTCCCGTCAATTGGTTCGGTAGACGACCTGACGGACCGTCCACGTATCCAACCGTCTTTTTTATCATACCAACGACGCGCAGCCCTACAGTGTAAGCATAACTTCGGTCATCTCATCGTCTGGTTATGAAATGATCGTAGCCGCGTCTGGTATCTCTACAGCAATGGATCCCATTCTGGAAATCTCACGACCTTCCCGTCTTCACGTATCCTACTTTCGCAAATCCCGCAGCGCTCCACTCAGTTCGAGCGCCGTTTCTCGGATACCGTCTCCTCTAATCTGAAGAGCCGGGGAGGCGGTGTGAAATGTAATAGTCATGGTCTGGCATCCTTGAAATCTCGCGAACCTTCGTGTGTTCACATATTCTGCTCCCACTTCCGCAGATTCCGCAGCGTTCTACTCAGTCCACGTACCAATTCGCAGATCTTGCCTCCCGAGTATACCCATAAAGGGTTGTTCCAGCTGGTCTTTCGGCATCTATTCGTGATCCTGTGTTCTTTACAAGCGCCAGGCATGTCTCTATTTCCACTTGGCTACCTCGAAATCCATCCGTTAGGTACACATTCTGTGTCTGTACAAACGACAAGACATCCTCATCCGAGTTATACGTTCCGGTGATGATAGATCATACTACGCTTCGAGCGTGAGTCTTCCCGTAAACGTTGCTGCTGCGACATTTCGGCACTCAACAGACGCCTAACTGAACCTCTGGTACCAATAGGAGTCTTTCACGTAAACCGTAGCGAACTCGACCTCCAGACCTAAGGACGAATAAATATATCAGATCAGGCTCAGACGCGCTTCGTAGCAATATACCATTCTCCGTAAGCCGCTTATGGACGATATCTTCCTTTTCACCCCACGTCCACTGCTCGAGTCGCAGGGCATCGCGATCGATGTCACGGAACATCTGGCGACTAAAGCGGGCCCTTCGTGTGGGGATAAGGTATTTTTCGTCGGCCTCGTGCTGAGTAGGATAGGTAACAACGAGGAACTTCGCGAAGTTGTCCCTGACAAACTGAGCAAGGACCACGATGGCTAACATGTCATCGGCAGGGATGTCGGGCACCTGCAGAGAAGACCATCTTCGGGCCTCTGCTGTCGTGATGAGGAATCCTCCCACGCGCATGATGTGGCGAGTGCAGAGAGTCTGAGACTTGAGTGCGAAGAAGGTGTGAATTCGAAACCCGTAAAACGATAGGCCGATGACTGAGAGCGCCGCGTCGTTGCCTCGTCGTGACGCGCAGTGAATGAGCTAGGGAAACAAGTGTGTACAACGCGTGTTCCTCCTCATGTCCGTAAAATCATGTGATTCCCCGCCTAGCCATTCTCGAATCTCAAAGCCCCACGATGATTGGAGTCGATGAGAAGTGTATCTGTGTGCGATGCACCATCCGGCTGGTGCAATCTCACAGCTGGTCTTAGTAACTGTGAACTGAAGCCGGCTACCAGCCCGAGTGATAGATCATGAGCTGTTCCTGCGTGAGTTTGGTCACATAGTAGCCCTACTCCAGCTTCCATCGCCGTTTCAACTTCGTTCAATGGCTATATAAATGGTCGAAGTTCATTCACTGGCTATATAAATGGTAGAAATAGTCTTCCCCTCAACGAGAAAAAAATCATTCGTTGACCGAGACAGGGGTCGAACCTGCAATCTCCTGATTACTTAACCGGTTAAAGGTTCTTGGTTCATCGTAGTCAGACGCGATGCCATTTCGCCACACGGCCATGCTTCTACCTACACCACGGCACCCCTAGTTCCGCCGCCCATGCTGAAGCTTGAAGTCGCATAGTTCCGGCGCCCATGCTGAAGCTTGAAGTCGCAATTCTTAAGACTCGACGAGATGGAGAAAAGGAGTAAGGATGAAAAGTGCTAAGCACAACCACACGCATATATTTCCAAAGATGGGGGGCACTACATCTCTATCATAAAAAAGGGCGAAAAAGCCCTCGCATTCCCGCGCCTTGAAGGGGTGGAGCAGTGCGAGCGAGGGTGCTACGCAGAGGCAGACGATTTGGGCTCGTAGCTCCGCTGTTCCTGTTGCTGGAGAGGTCAGGGTTCAGAAGCTGGACACGAATACGTGCACGCGCTTACCGTGGTGTGGTCCCCGTCGTGTCTCACCGACAAGAACATGACGATCAGCCTACGATGAAAGCCAAGGAAGCGTCATCATCGTGCGGACGAGGGTAGGAGGAGGAGGAGAACTCACGAGGCGATGGTGAAGACGAGACCAAGCCAGAGCAGGACCACGTACGCGATGTTAACTGCCCAGTGCCGATATACTGCGTGGAATCGGAAGGTCAACCTACGTACATGGGGGCGGTGAGGAAGATGAAGGACGTACCGAGTGGGGGCCGGTAGAAGTACTCAGCGAGGTGCTGGGCCGTCGCTGCATCTACGCCCGTGATGCGTACCTCGTGCGATGCTACGACGATCTGTCGGATACACCGTAAGAAAATGCGTACACTTTCACGCGCAGACGGAACGCACCGTGCTCATCAACGCCGCAGCCGCCACGCCCAGAGTGACGACAAGCGCAGCGACGAGCCTGGCGATGTTGTACCACGGCGGGTACCTGCGCTCGGGCCAGAAGATGAGGAAGAAGTAGTCGGCGCCGAAGACGGTGGCGACGAAGACGCAGAAGACGATGGTGAGGATCTCGGCGTCGATGATGTCGTTGTTGTGCACGGACGCGGCGTGGTTGGACATGCGCTCCATGTTGTCCTGCTGGTCTCCGTACTTTGAGAGGGAGTACGTCGCGGTGCACTGATAAGTGGGTAGTTGTCCTTGGGTGACGGGTACTCGATGGAATGAGGGAGATACGCACCTCGGCGGCTAGGCATAGGTTCATTGCAAGCTGGGGGAGTGGGGAAGTGAAATGACGTGTATCGAGCGAGATGGATTCGACCTACGGAATATAGAACTTGTGGTGGATGAGCAAAGTCTGAGAAGGAATCGGGGATGGATGACTTACTGGCCTTCTCCCGCTTGAGGTACCACTGCCTACTATACATCTCGGAACCTCTGAGCGCTCCCCACCTCATCTTCGAGAGATCGAAACCCCATATGACGGCCATTGCTTCACTCTTGGGCAATTGAATAGAATTGTGTCCTCCGTGCGTTGAAAGGGAACCAGGGTTAGATAGGATGTCGGAGCGATAGAACAGAGCGGGGTGGGTTGGGAAGGCGCGAGGTGGGCGCGAATGAGTTGACTTTGAGCCTTATCATAAGACTATTTGCAGAGATGACGACACGGAGGAGCAAGTCCTTGCCCGCAAGTGGTGCTGGAGGTCCTTGCATAACAAGCCAATACAAAACCAGATATCGACCCGTCACCCGTCAACGTGAAAGATAACCCTGGAGCTAGTAACTGCCATGGGGAGGCCACGATCCTCGTCACGTTGGAGCAAGTACTCGGTTTACTCTGTAATCAACATCGTAGCAGCAACGCCCACGATGGACGACGGCCAGAGATCTTTCAACACACGTCTCGTCCCTGGAGGTCATCGGACTCGGTCTTGCCACCGAATCCGCATTCTGTGGCGACAGACCCGAGACGCCGGTCTACAGAGCACACATAATTGTCAATGGCTATTCTTATCGATGTACAGTGTGGGTTCGATTCTAGGAGTTCAGTGATGCCACGGTGAGCAACTTCACAACTTCATGACGTCATCCCAACGCCACTATGGATCGGCAGGACGAAAGCTCTTCCCACTCAAACTCGAACCACCACCACCACTACCACCAGTTCATCTATACCAGACTCTGTATACATCCAACATAACACTATGACCTCAGATCCATCCACCGCCCCACTATACCCACCCCCAACCCACAGCGGGGTCCACTCCTCGCCGCAAGCAAACGAACCCGCACTTGTCGTCCAACAACCGAGAGGGAGTCAGGGCATGAGTAGCACAGGGGCTCCAGTGATGCAGAATAGGTCCCAGGTCCCAATGCGATTGAGAGGAGGGTGTGTTCCGTGTCCGGTGCGTATCCCAACCCATGAATGGACTCGAGGGCTCGTATTCAAGTGTCTTCTCCTATAGGGTGGCGGCGTATGTTGGATCATTCCTATTCCGTGTCTCTGCTGAGTCAACATCTACGACGCTTGGTGGATTCTGTGGGGCCGTCTTAATTGTGCTCCAAGCTGAACCGGAATGACGGACGACGGGACACTTTTTTTAAACACATACACGCATCATACATTGTATCTTAATGAGTTATATCCATGACTCCCTTTGTTCAGCTACGAAAGGCGGTCCTTGACCTATGCCCACGCGCAGCACTCTCAGGGACATAGTGTCGCTTTATACCGGTTAACACAAGAAACGAAAGAGAGCCATCACTCTGCTATAGGATCACCAACCCAGGTGTCGATCTTACTCGTACAGACTCCTAATGAGACCCCCACGCGATGCCATTCTCGACATACAGCCGTCTACTAGAAAATGGCGGAGGCGTGCTGGATTCCCGAGTCGAGACGAGTCCGCTGGTGTTCGTGTCTCGAATTCGACGCGTTCCGAACGCGTGATAGTTCGTGCATGAGAACTTCTGAAGGTGACAAGGCTGAAGAGCTGCAGTTATGCATCACACGTATTGCGGCCAAGGGATAGACCGCACGGAATACCAAGGATGGTCGAGCCTGACTACACACCGCGCCCGAGCCACCCCGCACTTAAAGGAGGCAGGATATGGGACACAGTACTCGACCTAACGAGAACGCTACGCACGGAATTTCAAGCGAGAGCGGGGCCAGGATACGTGAACATCAAAGGTCGTGAGATTCCAAGAGAGAGAGTAGGAAGCATGGTTGTCGGGATACTAGGCCGGCTAGGATGACTTCGTGGCTATACGGTGAGATGAGCAAAGAATACTCAGACTGCGGAGCTACCGGAAAAGATAGGTTGATACGTGGACCGTCCGTCAGGTCATCTACCGGAACCCTTGACGGTACGGGACGTGTAATAGAGATTCCGGGGACGAGGATCCGGGGTCCGGGAGCTGGGAACTGAAGACTGTCGTTCAAAGTGAGAATATGAATATCACTGAGGTGCAGAATGTAAGCTTAGCACGGAAGGACTGCGTACCTTCGGAAGACTCAAAAGACCTCGAACATTTTCATAATCCAGCAGCCAGTCCCTTGACCGCATCCACCACCTCCCGAAATCTTGCCTCCCCCGCTGGTTCGAGTAAAGCCCGCGCCCGTCGGTCCCGAGACGCTATGTCGGTCAAACGACGACCAGATCTCAGGCGGAGCGAAGGGTGGAGGGGCTGATTCCAATGCGTAGACACGGGTTGAAGAAAGAGGCGCTGGGGCCGTACAGGGTTGCTGTTGGGATGATGCAAGAGTCACAGAACCTCGGCTGGCGGATGTGATCGTCTGCGCTGCCGTGGGCGGAGAGCTGGGTACGGGGATGGAAGGTGTTGACCTCTGAGAAGAAGATTACAATGCGATGACCATGGAGGATGAGATGGATGATGAGGTAAGTTATCTGTCAGTGGGTTTGGGCTGTGGGGACATTGGGTAGTGTTCTGAGCTGGCCCTGCTGGGGAATAGGTCGACCAGAAGGGAGTTGGATAGATCGTAGAAGTCGTCGCTCTGTCCAGTGGTGCAGATGTTGGATATTTCAAACTGCTCGATGACACCCTGGGACCAAGGCATATTTGACGATGGAAAGAGTGAAGGCAAGGATGGTCGATGATCGAATTCGGTCGATTTCGGAGATATGAGACGCTTGTTGGACGCTTGAACCTATCAGCCCAGATCAGGCATATCTTGCTTACTTTGTCTGTGCCAGCAAAAAAATTGGTCGGTGGAAATGGCACATCGCACAACATACTTTGAGTTTTCGTGTCAAGCCAATGCACGATAGAGGCAGATCGCAGACTCGGATTGCTGTCGGATGGCAAGGAGAGACTGTTGATTGTTGTTATTCTCAGACGCCTTTGGCAGGAACGGCTGCGGGCAAAACGCGACCACCACGAGTTGGGCTCGCCGTAGCCCCAGCTCACACAATCCTGGCTCTTACTTAAACCAGCTGTGCGATCGCACCAACCGAATTGTTCCTCGCTCACGTATACCCACATCGATGCGCGTAGGAGGATTCCTCATCACTCCATCAGAGGCGCGACGATGGTATTCTCAACAGGAACCCGACAGGCTCGCCAGTGAGACCAGAGTCATCACGCTCCTCGGACAGGTCGTCAGGAGAAACCACGCAAAGCTATACGTTATCAACCATCCTACTCAGAACGACGACGACATGATGTACCTTGTCCCCACGCGAAGGGCCCACTTCGATCGCCAGATGTTCCGCGATATCGGCTGCGATGGTCTGCGACTCGAGCAATGCAAATGGGGTGAACAGGAGGATATCGTGCATAAGCTGATTAAGGAGCATGGTATGTGGCTACGACACGCCGCTGGGCATGCTTTGACGTACTTATCCTTAGGTCTGGAGGCCGAGTTCACTACGGTTTATGTAGAAGACTCCGATTGGTACAGTATGTTTTAGGCCTTCGCGGATGGACTCCCTTGAGACCTTGCCTAAGTCCATCACTTGTTTTCTCGAGACCTGGTGGTGTATCGGCAACCTATCTGCGATTTGTAGTGAAAGAACTTCATTTCCCTCCCCGTTCGACTCGGGGTCAGGTCAACGCACTCTCGATGCCTTGTCTCGTTTTTGTTTTCGCTCCTTGGCATCGTGCAACGGTGCACCTC